CTGTGCAGACCTTCAACTCTCCTCACTGTAACGTGGCAGCAGTTACACAAGCTAGAATCAACACACATCACACATGAACAGATGGAATGAAGCCCACAGACTTGGCGTCTGCTTACAATGTGTGAGTCTAAACCGCTATGATGACAAAAAAAATCGTGGTCAGTGTGCACGGACACGGTAAAGTTCAGGTAAGGCGAGACACATAAGAACACAGCAGGCTTTTTCCCCCCAGCTGATCATTTGCCCACTTCTTCTTCTATTTCAACCTCCAGAAACAAGTCTTAGCTGTTTATTTCTGAGTGAAGCTGCAGGCACTCTGTGGCTTCTGATCAAACGGACCAATAGATCAGAAATTTTGCTCGCCTTTGTTAAAACAAAATGTCAAGAACTTCAGTGAAGTGGACACCCTGATATCTGAAACCTTTTTTTATCGTCTTCTGCAGATAGGTGTATGAGTCTAGTCTGCTGTTAGAGGAGATCTGTGCATTGGCTGCAAAGGTCAAAATGTCAGTTTATAAGAATGGCAGCCAGTCTTCTCATGTTCTTTGCTAAACCGTTGAGGAGCGCTTCCCTGCAAGTAGACACTCAGCAGTGGATTTTTAGCATGAATTTTTCTTCAAAGTAACATGTTAGACACATATGTTCACTCCAATTTTAGACGCATCTTCATCATTTAATCTGACGGACTTTTTTCGTGCCAGAAATGCCAGAAAAGAGTCTTGTAAAGTTTTTAGAGGCTGCGGTGACAAGTTGAATTCCGGAAAACTAACTCACTTTTTTACCTATATTACATAAAGTTCCAATGTGATGCTCAAAGTCACACAATAGTAATGGCTTCAGTAATAATATTTCAGTACTTTGAGACCTCGAAAACGACTCTTAATTCACTGAATTTAAGCGTAAGCAAAACTTTCAAGGCAAGCTTCCTGTCTCAATAACAATGGCTAGTTACATTCTTGAAGTGAGCTGCAAGCTCTGGCTGAACTTACTTTTCTTCTCTCCGTTGAAGACCGTCCCT